CTAGAATAGCGCTACTATTACGCATTAGAGGCCTAGAGCTCATGATCTCTCTCTCTTTCTTTCTCACTCTCTCTTCCTTCCTTCCTTGACAAACTGCAGCAGGATATGCTGCTATCTATCTAGTGTGGGTGGAGCTGATCTGCAAGTGGGTGGGGCTGGTTTAATCCCGTACGGACTCTGTGCACAAAAATATACGGAGGTCAACCACGTGGCTCAAATAGCAACACGCTCACAGAATTTTCCCGCCTTGACCTTTAGCTGACCAATCAGATATTTCCGTAACCATGGAAACGAAAGGTTACAAAACGAGCTGTATTTCCATTTCTGCTCATTTTTCAGCCGGCTCCTGAGAGGAAAGTTTGATCTCCCTCCTCTGTCAGTCTCTGGCTAACCAACAGCACTGTTAGTCCTTCTCCTCTGTCCCCACTCTCTCTCTCTCTCTTCTAACTCTCTCCTCTAGCCATACCACTTTCATATTTATTGTTTTCTTTCCTTTTTTACAGGTTGTGAAAACCCAGTCATTGTCGCTCGTGTATTGACGCCTCTGCCACTTATTCAACCCACAACTACCCACTGGGCAAGTAAACCTATCCCTGTTCCTTTATTTTATTCTTCTTTCTCTTCTTTTTCCTCATTTTAGGTTACTTCACGGTCAAACTTCCCGCCATTTTCTCACTCCAATTAACGCCCACCGTAATCAGCTGTTACAGGAGACTTGCCTCGGGCATTTGATTCAGTTTCCCGGCTAAATGGGACCTCATTTCACATTATTTGTCCGTAAGTACCAGTTCTCCTATACACTTTACAGCCTTTGTCGCCTTGTACAGCCTTTATTGTACTCGTATAGCCTTTAATCCCCTTGATTTCTACTTGTTTACAATAATACAGTTTTATATTCATAGCTTTTGTGTACTCTTGTACATACTGAGCCTTCATGTACTTGTCACAGACTTTATGTCTACTTGTTTCCTATTGTTTTGATAGGAGAGAAGTGTCTATGTAGATGATGATCAACTGAGTTGATCTGTCAGGCTCAGCTACCCGGCTCTCCCTTTGAAAACTGGTTTTGTTTGGTTTTAGTTTTGTATTTCCTCTGCCCCCTGTACAGTACCTTTGGATTATATGGATACCAGCTAAGTAATAAATCAGGAGCCCAACCTTTTCATGGGCTCCTGAATAGTTGTACTATGCATCATACATTCCTTTGCATGTGTACATGTAGTCCCTTTTTTCAAATTAAATTTGAGAGTTTGAGAGTACACCCTTATTATACATTGTATTATATACAGGTGAGCGGTGACCCTTTACATTAGCTACTACACAGTAATATTGTACCATTCCTATACCTGTCATTGCTTGATGCTTCTTCCTTTAGCCTAGGTTCGTCTCTACTTACTGATTCGACAAACGTTCGATCAGGAAGTAACCAAATAATGCATTGTTTTATAATGTGTATTTTGTGTATCAAGCAATGACATATGTCTTCATATGTAGCATTTCAAGAGTGGGAACTGTTTACCCGAAAACAGCATACCCTCTTGTTTGCTATAGGTGGGAATGGATTTTCGAAAATTTTCACTTTTCGCTTGAGGATTAAAAATAGGCCTTATTTTTGAATTAGAAGATTGATAGCCTAAAACTGCAATTTCTTCTTTTTACTCTTCTATCATCATTATGGACAATAGGATAGTTTGGCAGAATGCAAGGTTGATTACCTTTTGTGTATTCTTATATAATTTATATGTTCCTTTCTCCCTCTTTTTCATTTGCTATAGCTATTCTACTGAAGATTGGTTTTGTCTCTGTTCTTTTTGGTAAGGAATTGTGTTTGCCTATTTTTATATTTATTACTACTTCTTTCTCTTTTTATAGTCTTTATCTGTTCTATTCTCCTTGGTCTCTCCTCTCCTGTCGGTTGCTGTTTTGCAGTATTTCCTCTGGCCCCTGTACAGTAGTACCTTTGGATCATGTGGATACCAGCTAAGCAATAAATCAGGAGCCCAACCTTTTCATGGGCTCCTGAATAGTTGTACTATGCATCATACATTCCTTTGCATGTGTACATGTAGTCCCTTTTTTCAGATAAAATTTGAGAGTTTGAGAGTACATTGTGTTATACAGGTGAGTGGTGACCCTTTACATTAGCTACTACACAGTAATATTGTACCATTCCTATACCTGTCATTGCTTGATGCTTCTTCCTTTAGCTTAGGTTCATCTCTACTTACTGATTCGACAAACGTTCGATCAGGAAGTAACCAAATAATGCATTGTTTTATAATGTGTATTTTGTGTATCAAGCAATGACATATGTTTTCATATGTAGCATTTCAAGAGTGGGAACTGTTTACCCGAAAACAGCATACCCTCTTGTTTGCTATAGGTGGGAATGGATTTTCGAAAATTTTCACTTTTCGTTCGAGGATTAAAAATAGGCCTCATTTTTTAATTAGAAGACAATAGCAATAGAAGATTGATAGCCTAAAACTGCAATTCTTTT